TGCTGCTGCTGCTGCTGCTGCGGCTGCTGCCGCCGCCGCCGCCGCCGCTGCAGCCGTGGTGACGACGTCCGGTGGCAGGCTCAGGTGGGACGCGGGCAAGTCGCTCAACCAGCTCACATCGGCCAAGGACTTTGAGATCGAGTCGGACCTCATCAACATCCGCAAGACCAACGGCAAGCGTGCACGTCGCAAGTAGGCGCGCGCACACACTGCCACACTGCCACATTGCGCCGTGCATTGTAGCTGGCTGTTTGCGGAGCACGGTCGGGAATGCCATGCGTGATTTCGCTGTTGACTAGGATGGGGTGTGTGCGGACGAAGCGGGTCATTCCCAGTCCTAGTTGACTACGAGGACTGGAGGTGGTGGAACTAAGCGATCGGGATTGATGATCGGGGTGGTGGTGAGCGGAATGTGCGGAAGTTGGAGAGAATTGACCGGTGCTACACCTAAAGCCGGCGAAGGCCCTTTCTGCCACCCCTCCCCCACCTGCAGCGACCCTGCTGCAAACTGTTGCAACTTTGCCGCTCAAAGTGGGGGGGAAGGGAGGGGGGCGAAAACGAAAACTTGGATGAGCGAAATTTGGGAACGGCGGCTTCGGTTGGTTAAGCCGAAAAAAGCCAGCGGCTCTACAGCGCGGATGAACGAGATCCGTTGGGAGAGCTCTTTGCACGACTTTGCCGAACATGCCGATAAACGGTGCTTTGGCCGCTGCTGTGAAGGAGACGCAGAAAAAGTCACATGGTTAGCCGCAACCGCATGCTCAAACTCTCGTCGGTGCTCATCCGGCGAGATCGGTGCTGGGATTGATGTGATTGCTGCGCGGTACTTCCGACGTCGTGGCAATACGCCTGCTCGAAGGGCGGTGTGGATCGAATTGACCGCACATTTCACCGCGCGCTGACAAAAGCCGTCGGCGCCGCCGATGTGACGTCTGACGGCTCATCGCTGTGGCTTTGGCTGAGGCATCGCTGAGCGTGGTGTGCCGCCTCGTGCCTCGAGCTGTCGTCCTGTCTATCGCCGCCAGAAGCCGTGTTGGCTCCTCTCCGCCATCACATCCTCCTCCCAGCCTTCACACACGCCAGACAGCATGTGACTCGCGCCCTTGCATTGCCACTCGTCGAGCAAGTGAGCACACACAGACTATATACACACACTGGCGCCTTGTCGTCATCGTCAGCATCGCATGCATCCACCGCATTCCTGCATTTCATTCAAGTCCCAAGCCGCCGGTCCAGCTCGAGTCCGGTAGCTCAGTTCATCGACATGGTCCAGTCAACCACACCGCCGGCATCGTCGCCTCCCACAGCCATGCCAACGTCGAGCTCACCACCAATACCACCCGCGCACGCCTCCTCCACCCACTCCCTAGAGCGCACCACCTCGCACGACGATCACCATCATGACGACGACGACACCACCGCCGCCCCCACACCCGAGAGCGCCACAGAACACCGCGTCAAGGTGGCGCTGCAGGACCAGACCAACTTCCTGCCCCGCAAGCAGGTCATCCTCGTCTTTGCCGGTCTCTCGGCCGCGCTGCTCGTCGCACTCCTGGACCAGTCCATCATCAGCACCGCGCTAGGCACCATCACCGCCTCCTTCCACGCCGGCAACGAGAGCTCCTGGCTTTCCACGTCTTACCTCCTCACCTCCACCGCCTCCAGCCCGCTGTACGGCAGGTTCAGCGACATCTTTGGCCGCAAGGCGTGCATCATCTTTGCGCTCACCGGCTTCCTGATCGGCAGCGCGCTCTGCGCAGCCGCACAGTCCATCACCCAGCTCATCGTCTTCCGCGCCTTCGCGGGCGCCTTTGGCGGCGGCATCGTCTCGCTCGTCATGGTCGTCGTCGGCGACGTAGTCTCGCTCCGCGAGCGCGGCACCTACCAAGGCCTGCTCGGCGTCGTCGTCGCGCTCTCCAATTCGGGGGGCCCGCTCATCGGAGGCGCGCTCGCCTCGGTCGGTTGGAGGTGGTGCTTCATCCTCGCCGTGCCCATCGCGCTCATCGCGCTCGTCAGCGTCATCCTCCTCCTCCCGCTCAAAAAGGTCGACGGTTCCGTAAAGAGCAAGCTCGCCAAGGTCGACTACCTCGGCACCGCGCTCGTGCTCGCCGCCACCGTGCTGCTGCTGCTGGGACTCAACTGGGGCGGCCAGCAGTACGCCTGGTCCAGCCCGCACGTGCTCGTCACGCTCATCCTCGGCGCGGTCATCTTTGTCGTGTTCGGCCTGGTCGAGGCGTACGTGGCGCCGCTACCGCTCGTGCCTATGCGCCTGTTTGCCATCGGCACCGTGTCGAGCGTGCTCGTCCAGACGCTCTGCTCCGGCGGCATCTTCTTTCTGCTGCTCTTCTTTGTGCCCCAGTTCACCCAGGTCGTCAAGGGATACTCGGGCGTCAAGGCGGGCGTCACACTCATCCCGCTCATGGCGGTGCAGGCGGTCATGTCGACCGTGGCGGGCATCGTGGTCTCAAAGACGGGGCGGTACAAGGTGATCATTGTGGTTGGGTTCGCGATATTCAGCGTGGGCGTGGGGCTGCTATCGCTGCTGGACGAGCACTCGAACATCGGCGAGGTGATTGGGTTTCTCATGCTGGCAGGGTTTGGCGCGGGGGGAACGTTGCAGGTGACGCTGGTGGCTGCGCAGAATGCGGTGCACCGGCGCGATCTGGCGGTAGTCACGTCGACGCGCAACTTTATGCGTCTGTTTGGAGGAACGCTGTGTTTGGCGATCAGCTATACGATTCTCAACAACAGTGTGCGCAGCGGGGCGCGCGGGTTGCCCGCGGATGTGGTGGCGGCGGCGGTGCGCAATCCGAAGCTGATCACGTCCGGAGAGTGGGATAAGGATGTGTCGGAGCAGCTACTGCGCGCGTATGTGCTGGCTTTCAGGAATGTCTTCCGCTTCGGACTGGGGTTGACGCTGCTGGCGTTTGTGGTGACGCTGGTGTTTACCAAGGAGTTCAGTCTGGACCGCGGGGATGACGAGCGCAGGAAGGAGGAGGGCAAGCAGTGGTATCGGGAGAAGAAGGAGCGGAGGCAGGCCAAGAAGGACCAGAGTGCGCCGCATAGTACGCGGCATTCGCATGAGTCGCACGCGCGCGAAAGCGAGCGCGATGTAGAGAAGGCCACCCCCCGCGCTCGCACAGCATAGCTGCTAGATTCGTCACTGCAATTGTATAGTATCCTTTGATCTGGGTGGTGCGGTCATGTGTGATGGTGGAGCTTTTGTGGGGTTGGAAAAAATGAAATCGTCGGGCACGTGGCGTGGTGGGGATTGAAACTGCATCCGGCGGGATCTGGCTTCATCTTTCCCCACCATCACTCACTTTGACCCACCACCACGATGTTGACCGACCTGATCCTTCTGCTCTTTCTCTTCCTCCTAATTGGGGGGATTCTTGTATTCGTCACATCACTTTCGACGCCACCATCCACATCGACGCAGGTGGGCAGTTCGAGCATCGATTGGGGCAAGGGCGAGGTGAAGCTGCGCACCTCCATGCGACCCGTCACCCAACAGCACTTGCTCGAACACGCCGAGAGAAGCGGGCACGAGGGCGGAAGGTTCGTCACGCAACATGCACAGAGCTTCAGCTTTGGCAAGAAAGACTCCTAAACCACCCCCCCTTTCAATACCGCAAACACGCAGCGACTCAACACATCGCACCCTCACCCAAGCATACCCAACATCCAATCTGCAATTCCCTCGTACGAGCATGGAGAAAGATGGATCGCGGGGAGGGGATGGACTAGGATGCAGGGGTGGAGCGCGAACTGGCGGTACTCGATCGTCGCACCCCCGCCGCCGTGCGCGCGCGCAAGGTCGAAGCATCCACACTCGGACTCCTACTGGGCGGGAGCGTGTCGATGTCGTCCAGCGACATGTTGCGTGCAGCATGCAGCGTGCTTCGCCCCCTTCCTGACCCTCTACCACGAGCGCGTGCCCGACCGCGACCGCGTCCCCTCCCGCGCGCAGCCTTACCCACACGCTCCAAGCGCGCCTCTTCCTCGCTGCTCGATGCCGACGACGACAGCGCTTCTTCCTCGCGTGCGGCGCGCTTCTTACGTTTCCCCCGCCCCGCGCTCGCCGGCTTGGCTCCACTGCCCCCACCTACCGCCGCGGCGCGGCCCTCAAGCGCCTCGATGGCTGCATCGAGCTCGGCTGTGCGCGCCGCACTCGTCTGCTCTTCGTTCGTCTCCGCACCGCCCTCGTCGCGCCGAACAATGGGTCGCTTCTTGGCCATCTCCTTGCCGAGCATCTCCTCGGCCACTGCGGGTGTCGCCAAGCGCGCACCCACCACCTGCACATCATCATCACTACCGCTGCTTGTATCCGCACTACCCCGCCGGCGTGGGTTGCGGGCGGGCGCGGGTTTCCGACCGTTGGCGGCACGAAAGCCGTTGATGACCTCCTGCAACCGATTGCTGCCGTAGGTGATCTTTCTTCGACCCGCGTACACGCCGGTACCTGCCGAGGTGTCAAAGAATCCGCCGCGGTCGAGTGTGGTCTGGTTTCCCCGCGCGCGCGTGCGCGCGTTCTGGCGCTCGATGATCGGCAGCACGTACTGGTCGGTCTTGGACACAGGCCAGTGCAGATACTCGCCCAGGAACGTGCGCAGACTATCAAGATCCGGCAACCCCCATGCAAAAGGCTCTTCGCTCTCGTCCACCGTGGGCGCGTAATACGCATCAAGCACGGCAGGTTCAGGCCAGGATGGTTCGAGATGAACCTTGTTGCGCAGGTTCTTTTTGATGCGTCGCATCGTCTTACCGCGCGTATGCTCGTGTGTGTCCTGTCCCGTCTGCACGCGCATCCACCACTCGCGGAACTTGAGCAGTCCATCCTCGCCTGGAAACAACGCAAGCAACTCCATCGCCACCACGGGACCCACGCCCGCCAAACCCTCCGTATAGTCGCTTCCCAGATAGTACGCCAGCCGCACCAGCTTCTCGCGATCCAGCCCCAGCTCGCGCTGCATGTCCGAGAGCAAAAAGCACTCGACAATCCGGTTGTTGTTGAACATGTTCTTGTAGATCCGTGTGCCACCAAATAGGAAGACGTCGCTATCGTCTGTGATGATCCCGTCGACAAGGCGACGCGAGACGAGCTCGGCGCATTGGGCTTCGGCTTCCATGGGCGCCGTGATGTACGGCAGCCCAAACAGGCGCAGCATCATCTGGATCTCTTGCGCCATCTGCTTGGTGATGTCCTCCTCGGACCGGCGGCTGTTGGCAAACTCGGCCCGCAGAGCGTTGACTTCGCTTTCGACTTGCTGCTGCACGTCCAGCAGACTGCGCCCCTTGGTGGCGCTGAGAAAAGCGACGAACTCGGACTGGTCCGCACTCAGCCGCGCAATGTCGTCGTCCGATGCAGACAGGGCATCCAGCTCCGCCGCCGTGGGTAGCGGGAATCCGTCGGCGCCAATCACCACCTCCTCGCGCTCGGGAGACGGCGTGGGCGACCACTCGACCGGCGTCGTCTGCCGTTCGTCCAGGTTGACTGGGTCATTGTCCTGCAAGGCGGACGAGGCTTGTTCCGCAGCGGCGGCAGGCATGTTGTCCATCACCACGTCGTCGACCGCACCACCTGCGTCTGGGTGAGGTACTCCTTGCGCTACAGCACTCGCCTGTTCTGGAACCGACAGAGAGACTGGAACGCCCGTCTCTTCCACGTCCTCCAGGCCAGCTGCATCCCCAGCGGCCGTGTCCGACTCCACATCGTTCGTCGTGGGCAGCCCATGATCTACCGACGGCTGTTCTGGCTCCAGCTCGACCACCTCGGATGCGGGCGGAGCATCAAGCGCACTCTCGCGAGGCTGCAACTCATCCCTCGTCTGTGCCTGCTCTTCTGCCTCGTCCGAGCGAGATTCGATGGCGATCTGCCGATTCACCTCTTCCGGTGTCGGCGGGAGGTCGTCGTGCCCCATCTCGACTGCCTCGGACGTCGAGGGTGCGAGGGTGGTCTGCTCCACCAATTCTGGTGCAGGCGGGTCGTCGACGCTTTGGCGAGATTGAGGTTGCTCGCCGACCCTTTGCGCGTCCGAGCCCGCTTCGCTGGCGATCTGGCGATTCACGTCTTCCGGAGTCGTTGAAAGGTCATCGCCGCGCATCTCGACCGGCTCGGACGATCCGGGTGCGAGGTGGGCCAGCTCGAGGCGCTGTTGCGAGGCGGACCGAAGGGGCGGACCCATGCGCGCCGACCGCAAAGGGGGTTCTGAACTCTTTTCAGGAGCCGGCACTTGTGCTTGGGGCTCGTCATCGGCCACGACGATACTAGGCTGTGCAGAGGACGATGCGGTACGACGTGCGGCGCGCAGGCTGCCTGCCAAACTCTTGCGCGGAGGTGGTGGCGCCTGTGTTGCATCGACCGACTTCTGGCAATGCCGATTCGCGAGCGCAGCTAGCTCCTGCATGCGACCCGAATGGTTAGCATCAGTTCGACTGCTGACGGCGGTAGGCTGAGCGGCAAATCCGGGCTCAACCTCTTGTAGAGCTGATAGCGGCTCCGGCTGAACATCCTCGAAATCATCGTCGTTCAACTCGTCGACGTCCAGAGCAGCTTGATTCTCAACTTCGAGTGGTGCGGTCGCTCGAGGCGCTACTTCTCGCCTAGCTTGACTCGAATCGTCTCGATGCAGCATAGCGTCGTGCAGCGAGACTGGCTCTCCGCTACGATGCACGAGCTTCAGCCCCGCCCGGTGCTGCTCGGAGCCAGACTGAGCAGCACTAGATTCTGCAATCGCGCGCGCGAGGTCTTCGGCCTCATCCTCTTCGAGCTCATCGACACCCGCCTCGATGATCGAAAAGTCATCGTCCGCGTCCGAGTCGGCATCGACATCGATCCACTCGTTCTGCGGTGATTGGCTCGAGCCGCTGGCTGCTCGTGGATTGCGAATGAACAGCGGACGTTCGCCGCGCTTGCGACGCCGAGGCAGATCGCGCTCCAGGCCATCATCGTCATCGAGAAGCCCTGCTTCTCTGCGCTTCTGCTTGGCATGCTGGCGCGCTCGAGCCTGCAGAAGCTCGAGCGCCTTTTCCTTGCGCACGTGCGGATCGGCTTCCTTCTGGAGCTCGGCCATCTCGGGATCAGCCGCGGCGGAAGCGATCCTGGACGGCGATGCACTGGCGGGAATCTCGACGTCGTCCATCTCGATCTCAGGCTCCGAGTCCGAGTGGCCGTGTTCGTCGTCGGTAATGTTGATCTCTTGGGGCTCGTAGTCGACGTCGATGGCCTTATCCTGGGACGTGCCGGCGTCGCGTACGCCGAGCACAAATCCTCCCTCTGCGCCCGGATTGCGCACGAGCACGTACTCCTTGTTGCGCTCACCGGCGACGCGGATGGGCACCTTGATGTTGGCATTGCCGATCTCGTCGGTGACGGTGAGCACCTTTTGGGTGAGGTCGTTGCGCGTCTTGAGGCCGGCGATCTGGGCGCGCGAAAAGTCGATGGGCGTGGGGGCGGTGGCGAGCATCGACTGCAGACGCTTGTACGACGTCATTCGGGACTGGGCGCGCAAGTCGCCCACCAGCTCATACTGCAGCTCGGGAGGCAAGCTGCGGAAGAGTTCCGAGGTGGTGTCGAGGTCTTCGGGGGCGATGGTGTTCATGACGGCTCGGAGCTCGGCTTCGGTGGCAAAGCGGTAGTCCTTGCGCTTGCCTTTTCGGCCGTTGGCGGCGGCGACTTGGTTGAGGTCCTTTTCCATGGCGGGCAGCGCATAGGGGTCCTTGTGCCAGTCGACCTTGCGAGCGCCCGGCTTGGAGGGGGAGGAGCTGTTCTCGCGGCTCTGAGGCGCTGAGCTGGGCGAGGCGCCCGAATGGAGGTCACGAGAAGGGAGTGCCGTCGGCCTACCCGCCTGAAGGTCATCGTAGTAGACGGTATTTTCGCCGAGACCTGAACTGCCAGCGCCAGAGTCCGCGTTGTTGTCGGTGGAGGATGATGCGCGAGGCGGAGCGCCGCCTGCTTCGGCGACGTGCTTGATGGCGGCCTGCCTCATTTGTGCGTTGAGGAGCTTCTCTGCGGTGCGTGCATGCGACTCCTTGGCGCCCTGCTTCCTGGCCTTTCGACCCGAGAGCGTCTTGCGCTTCATGACGGGAGCCCCGCCGTCAAAGACAAAGACAGGGCGCACTCCGTGGAAGAGGAGTTTGAGGATGCGCCAGAGGAAGCCGAGGATGTGGGCGTTGGAGAGCGTGCGGCCCTCCTTGTCGCGCATGGCCATTTGGAAGTGGTAGAGCCATAGCGACGAGTCGATCGCCAGACGCTTTCCCTCGAGCGTCTCGATCTTGATGGGGCGTGCGACGGGCTGCAGGAGCTGCCAGAGTCCTTGGACGCCCATGCTGGCGGTAGAGCAGCCAAACCTGTGCTGCGCTTAATGCTGGGCGCGAGCAGCTGCGGTGGTGTCAAAGCATGGATTGTGAATGTAGATGTGTCGTGAAGGGGATCGAGTGGTGGTGTGTGGCTGGAAGTGAGGAGGTGAGGGGGTGAGGAAGGCCGACTCAGCCTTTTTTTGGATTCGAGGCGGCAGAGTGCGTCAGCGTGCTTCCGTTTTGGCGCACGGCTGCATGCCAAAAGAAGGGTCCAAAAAGCGGATCCGACTGAGAGTGTGGTTCTGTTCATCCCACCACCATCAGCACCATCATCTCGGCCATCAATTGGCAATCGGCTATAGTGACGGGCTCGCCCGCGCGTGTGTGCCGAACACCATGCTGGTACCACCCCCGAACTATGGAATGGTGGAAGAGAACTTCTACCGGTCGGGACAACCGGACCAGCTCAACTTTCCGTTCCTCGAGAAGCTCGGTCTGAAGAGCGTCATCTGGCTGGCACCAGAAGAGCCCGAGGCTGGCTTCCTCGATTTCTGCGTGGACCAAAACATCGAGTTGCACCATCTTGGCGTCCTCTACTCCACCAACGCCTGGGATCCCATCACGGAAGAAGTGGTGCTACAGGCATTGCATCTGCTTGTCCAACCTGCCACTTACCCCGTACTCGTCATGTGCAATTTGGGTCGCCATCGTACAGGCACTGTGGTTGGTTGCTTCCGCAAACTACAGAGATGGAATCTCAGCGCGATTCTCGAGGAGTACAGACGATTCGTAGGAGGCCAGAAATACCGCATCCTCAACGAACAGTTCATCGAACTCTTTGACGAAGAACTCGTCTTTGGCGCCAGCTATTAGTTCCCAACCCCCCATCCTCAGCACCAACGCACCACCGTGGCTAGCAACTTGGTCATGCCACAATCAAGCACCGACTTCCAACCGCCCATGTCACCTTGTCTAGTTCAAAAAGAAAGTCAAACTGCATTTCTACTCTTTCGCTCAATGCGCATTCAAAAGTGTTCGTAAAGGTGTTCGTGAGCATGGCTAAGCGGACGACGGCGCACGTCAATGTCCCGACTGCTTCTCGAGGTCGTCAAGGAACTTGAGATAGCTCTTCTTGAAGATGACGCCGCGGTACAGGCCGCGCTCGTCGACCACGATGAGGTATCGCACTCCGAGCCGCGTAAAGTACTGATGCACCAGCTCGAGCGGCGAATGGATCTGCACCGTAATGGGTGCCTTGTCGACGTACCGACTCAGATCCAGAGGGTCCGAAGCGGTAAACAGCACCGAATCGCGCACATTTGCTTCGCCCTCATTCTCGGCGCGCACAAAGGGGATGTTGTTGAACGAGCATCGTGTCACCTCGGGCCGCATGTCGACATCAGCCCGAACCGCCCGCGTCAAGGCATGCTCCAACTCGCTCGCAGCGATGTATCCCACCATCTGGTACGCCGAATCCGAGCCCGAACTCGGCGCTGCTGCATCCGTCAGCGATCCAAGACTAGCCGAAAGCAGCGGAGACGCTGGAATGGCCGACGACGCAGCGGCAGCGACGCGGCTGACAATCGGGAATCCGCCATCGGTGTAGCCCGACCCCTGGGCCAGACGATCGAGCTTGTCCGCGAGCGACTGGAGCGAGTTGAAGGCGTCGAGGCAGATGACTTCCACCTCGGTCTCCATGGCATCCGTGACGTTGACGCCGTTCCAGATGTACTCGGTCTTGCTGTCGAGGTAGGGCAGTCCGCTAAACTCGATGACGAGGTCGTAGATGCCCTTGTGCTCGAGCGCGTCGGCGATCGTCTTGGCCACCAGAATCGACAGCATGACGGGCACCGAGTACGTCAGCGTGCCCGTGAGCTCAAACATGATCACCGCGAGCGAGACGGTTGTGCGCGTGACGCCAGACAGCGCTGCCGCCGCACCCACCATCGCATAAACACCGGGCACAATGCACGCCGAGTCCGACGCAGGACACCAGCTGAAGAAGCCCAGCTCCGGATGCGTCCACTGGACGTACTGGACGAGCAGACCGACGATGCGTCCAAAGCAGGCGCCGACCGCCAATGTGGGGATAAAGATGCCGGCGGGCAGCTTGATGCCAAACGTGACGACGGTGAGGAGGCCCTTGAGCGCCATGGCAAAGAGGATCGAGAGGATGAGCGGCTTGATCTGCGAGGGCTGCGAGACGCAGAGGCCCTCGAGCGACTCGTGCTCGTGGCACTCGCTGAACAAATCGGCGATGAGCTCGACGCCGCCCATGCGCGTGTAGCCGTTGAAAAAGGAGAGGGCGGCGGTGGCGACGGTGATGAAGACGACCTCGAGGATGGGGTGGCGCGCCATCCACGTCTTTGCGCGCACGTTTTTGGCCCAAAACATGTTGAGCTTGGTGAAGTAGGCGCCGTAGAGGCCGCCAAAGATGCCGATGAGCACAAAGAAGAGCATCTCGTAAAAGTGCCAGTCCTTGTCGTACGTCACCTGGAAGAGCACGATCTTGCCCGTGCCAAACGGGTCGATGGCGCGCAGCGTAGCCGCGGCGACCATGGCGCAGAAGAAGGAGCGGAACATGACCTTGCTGGGAAAGTAGTAGCTCACCTCCTCGAGCGAGAAGAGCACGCCGCCGACGGGCGCGCCAAACGCGACGGCTACGCCCGCGGCACAGGCGCACGAGAGCATCTCGCGACGCTTGCCCTCGTTGTTCTCGTACTTGGGGAAGATGCGACAGACAATGTTGCCGACGCACGAGGCAATGTGGACAAAGGGACCTTCCTTGCCAAGCGAGAGGCCCGAGGCGACGGACAAGGTGAGGCCGACGGACTTTGTGAAGAGCGTCCAGAAGCCGAGGTAGCCGTGGATGACAAAGCCGCTCAAGATGCATTTGACCTCGGAGATACCGGAGCCGGTGGCAAAGTAGAGCACCTTGCGCGGGAGGATGGCTTTGGAAGCGCGCTGGTCGTTGGCGCGACGGGCAAAGTCTCGGGAGTGCAGTCGATCGGGTCGGTTGGCGTCGGAGGAGGCGGTTGGGAGAAGAGCGGAAGTCTCGGTGGGCTCCTGGTCGAGGTTGTTGGGATGGTGCCGGGCGTCGGAGGATGGCTTTTGGTTTTGGTTCAGGTTGGCGGTGGCGGAAGAGTTGGTGGCAGGGTCCTTGAGGTAGAGTTCGCTGGAGGTGAGGTAGATGGTGAGGATGCTGGCGATGGAGGCCCAGAGGATGGCGACGACAAAGTACATCGAGTAGCTGGCGGCCCAGTTGTGGGTTGCGGCAGAGCCGAATTTCTGACCCCAGGAGATCCAGCCGGGGCAGTCTTCGGTCTCGGAGTCGACGGGGGAGAGCATGGCGGAGAGCGAGGCGTTGGCGTGAGGGGATGGGAAGGATGGCTGCCTGTGCCAGGCGGGGCTACCGGCGACGGGGGCGGCCCAGCCGGAAAGGATGCGGTTTCCGACGCCGACGCCGGATACGAGCGACTGGAGCGCATCCGCGGGCGAGGTGGGGATGGCGGCGTTGGGAAGGAAGCGTGTACGGTAGGACCATGCGGCGGAAGTGGAAGCGGAAGCGATGTCGGGATGGTCCCAGTCGGGAGCGTTGCCGTAGGGGCAGCAGAAGCGTTTTGCGAGCCTCCAATCTCTGGCGCAGTAGCCGTCCTTGAGATCGAAGAGGACGGCCTCGGATTTGACGATGCAGCCTGCGATGAGTGCGGTGACGATGCCGGTGATGGTGACGATGATCCAGCCCTGGAGACGATCCCAGCTGTTGATTGCGAGACCGCGGATGCCGCGGAGGTTGCGGATGCGACGCAGACGGGAGCTCTCTTTGATGGCGTCGTGGATCCAGTCGATGGTGGTGTAGGATTCGTACCAGACGCGGACGCCGTTGCCGCCGGAGCCGGGAAGGTTCATTTCGTCTTCAAAGGTGGCGTCGTCGTAGGAGCGAAAGTCCTGCTTGGAGCGCTTGCGGGAGCCGGGGATGGCCTGGCCTGTGAGGCCTCCATAGAAGGAGCGAATCGGACTGAGGGGCTCTCGGAGAGAGGCGATGGAGGCGGAGCCGGAGAGTGCGCCCGAGATGCCCTTGGAGAGGGCGGCGAGACGGGAGGAGGAGTGCGGCTGGGCAGCGTTGTCCGTGGTTTGTTGTGCGTCCGAGGTGGGAGGCACAAAGAGCGAAGAGAGACGCCTGGTGTCGGACTTGGAGGACATGGTGCGGCGACCGGCTAGACGAGGGCGTGCGGAGGACGGCGCAGATTGATGAGCGTTGCGGTGTTCGACATGGTCGTTGGCGGTATCAGCCGCGGGTGGCCGAGTGGAGACGGTGAGCCCCGAGTTGGGCTGTGCACGCGATGGGCTGCGTGAGGCCGATGCGGCGCGTTTTGGATCCGCCATGGGAGTCGCACTGGATACGATGGCGGTTGACGCCGAGGGTGGTGGTGAGGACGGAGGCAAGATGGAGAAATGCAACTGCTGCGAGAGGTGATGCGTGCGTGCGTGCAAGCGTGCGTTGGGCTGCTGGACCGGTGCGGTGTTGGTTGCTCTGCTGGGTGGCTCTGCTGGGTTGACTCCCGCTAGCCCCTGCAGCTCGCCTGTTCTCCACTTGGCGCAGACCGACGAGCAGCAGCAGCAGCGCACTCTCTTTCTTCGGCTTGGCTCTTTTTGGTGAGCGCGCGTGCGTGGGCGCCAATTTGGAAATTCTCGCTCCTCGTCCTCAACGCCGCCAGCCAACCAGCCAGCTATCGGAAGCCGACCCAGATGGATCACCTCAATCAACCAGCTCAGCCCGATGCGCCAGCGTTTCGCACTTTGGGGATGCGCTTTCAAACGATGGGAACAAACGACGGTACAAATACACTGCTGATGCGTACCGGTGGTGGGTGCTCAGCTCTGCGGCTCCTCCGATGTCGCTTCCTGCTCCCGATCGATCTCGGTGAGCACGGCCATGAATCTGCGATGAGAGCGAAGGGCAGGTCAGCAACTGGACTCGCTGTCGTTGGTGCTGCAAGATACCTACGTGGATGCCTGCGCGATGCCGAGCTTGCGCATGTAGAACGCCTGTTCGGCGGCGAGGTTGAGATGCTGCTTGGTGGTGTCAAAGGTGGTGGCGAGCGCGCCTAGCTTGGCCGCCAGCTGCGCATAGTGCTTCTCCTTGTTGGACAGTGTCGCCGACGATGTCGCACCGGACGGAATGTGTGGGTTCATGATGCCAGCTGCCAGCGTCAAGGTGGTGGTGGTGGTGGTGGTGATCGCAAGCATACATGCCCAGTCGGTGTTTTGGCCGAGGACCCTGACTGAAGTGACAGCCGCGCTCGCTCAGCTGCGACGCGTCCATCATGCAGCCTGCAGAGAGACCAACACCCTTGGCGCGTCCCTCCGCCGTGGGCTGCCGCCCGCCAATTTTCTTTGGAAATGTGAGATTGTTCGGCCGCGTGACAGTAGTGTGACCATAGCGAGGCGTGTGGTGGGGCCTTCCGTTGCGCTTCATGAGGAGAGCATGCGACTGTCACCTATCCACTCCAACCTTGCTCCCCGACCACCATCCATCCCTCCGCTCTTCACCATCGTAGCGGCGGAAGCGGATCATCCTAAGCACATCATGCAAGCCGCTTCACCTCAACCTCGCCCCATCCCGGGCACGTCCACACCGGCGCAGCAACACTCGCCCATCGTGCTCTCCGAAGCATGGAAGCAGCTCCACCTCGCATCGCCTTCCCAACAATCCACC